AAACATATTTTCAATACGGATTTATTTATCAAAATTTTTTAAATTAGAACTTTATTTCGAAAGCACCAATTTACCCCCTCCTTTCTCTTAGTACCTTTACAATCCTATCACCTAGCAACTCAAATAAAATAAAAAATATTAAAAATAGATATCAAATCAGTATTTCTTAATGGAGTTCCTAAAGAAAAGATATATATATTCAACAACCTTCTAGTTTTATTATTCATGAACAACAAGACAAGGTATATAAGTTAAAAATAGTATTTCATGGGCTTAAACAAGACCCGCGAGCATAGAATTCTTGGATAAATACTTATTTTATTCAAAATAAGTTTTCTAAGTGTCCACATGAATATGCTCTCTATACAAAATTTAGTTCTGATGAAGATATCTTATTTGTATGCCTGTAGGTATATGATTTAATTTTTACAAGCAATAGTAGCTCAATAATTAAAGATTTTAAGTACTCTATAAAGAAGAAGTTTGAGATGATCGACTTAAGCCTAATGACTTATTTTCTCAGTATCGAAGTTATACAGACAACAGAAAAATTTTTATGTCATAAAAAATTTATGCAAAGGAGGTTCTAAAAATGTTTTCAATGAAAGATTATCACCCTACAAATACACTTGTTGAATATGACACCAAGTTAAAGGTAAAGGTAAATATATTAATTCAACTTATTATAAAAGTTTAGTTGGATATTTAAGGTATTTGACAAACACTCGACCTGATATACTATTTGGAGTTGAGTATATATTTCATAAGTAGATACATGGAAGCTCCTAAGACATCTCATTTAAATGTTTCAAAAAAAATTTTGCTCTGATATATTAAAGGGACAATTGAGTATGAAATATTTTATTTATCATCTAAAATGTTAGAGCTTATTGGATATAGTGATAAATCTATCCTTTCTTCTATGATAAATCTATCCTTTCTTCCTATTAAGTTCAATAGTATGCATATGTTGAATATGTTAAATTGAAGATGCAAGACCTGCACCATGAATATGACGAGTGCATAAGCAAGATCTTGAAGAAATTGAGTGGCCATCTTGTGACTACACAGGATGATAACTTGTGATTTTAAATGGCCAGGGAACCCCATTAACTATGTTTATTTTGCTAAATATTTTTTTTTGTGTGTGTGTGTTTTATTTTCTTCGATTCCTGTGCATGAAAAGCTATCAAGCAGCAATTATGTATTTCTTCCGTGTTTAACACCATCTTCAGTGGCTTCTTCTGAGTGATCTTTTTTTTCTTTTTTTTTTAATATTGATGGCAAGGTCAAAGCCAATTGATGGTCATTATTTTCTGTATCCTTTCTAGATGCAACTTAAATAATAGCAGACCCTTTTGGTCCTATTTGTTGGTTGGGTATTTGTTTTCCAGCTGACAAGAGATTGAGCATTTCATAATGAATGTCTCATATAGCTCTCAAAATATTTGCTGTAATCTTATGCAGAATCATGATGATTAGTATTCCTTTTTTCTTTTCCAGAACATGTCAGAAAAGCTGACTTGATCACTATCATACAATCAATCATGGGGGCTAACAAAACAATTAGATGATCAACAACCTTTATGATCATTATGATCCTTAGAATAACTAAGATTATTGCCTTGATGTTGACTAATTACCTAGTCTGACCTGGAACCCTAAATCTTTATCTGGATATGGACTTTTCAGCAGTTGATCGTCTGGATCGCAATCTGTGATGAGAATATCAATCATTCAGGATGAACTTTTCATGGTTTGGAATCCGGGAGTAAGTTGGTCTCTTGACTTTGATCTATTTTACTTTGTATAATATATGATCACCAAGTTCAAAATCTGACATCCATTTTGCTTGGATGTCCTTATTGTTTCAGGAGATACACATGAACCTTCTTACAAAGATGAGTTCATTGAAGTTGAAGAACACCGACGAGAATGGTAATTGATTCTTTGGTGCAGCTCAACTCACAATGAGTATGAAGTGACCACATACATTGTCGATCTCATCGGCTCCGTCGGGAGATGTCATTCTACTTCAAGATTTGTTGATGCTGAAATGCCACTCTTCTGTGGCTCTCATCTTCAAGAACAGTCTCAGGCTCTTCACCGTGCAAGTTGCTGCTGCAGTCTTTCCTGCTTCCATGATAAACAAGAGATGACCTGCAGTGCAGTTAGCTCCAAGTTTATGGGAGTGTTCCAGATGCTGATGACCTCTCACCAGGGCAAATTTTGTTTGGCAATATCATTTTCTTCTTCTTTCTTTGTTTAGACACATTTGATACGTACATTTCACAAGATCATAAGTAGGTGGAAATAAAAGTAAATATATCCTTTTCTTGATAGTATGTCCCATTTGTAACTATCTGCAGTGCATTATTACCTTGTCATGATTAACGAAAAGGTCTAAGTGGATCATATCAAGGTCGGATGCTTGTTTCCTAAGAGGATCTTCCTCAAAGAATGCTGAGATATTTGTATGAGAAGCCTAATCATAATGTATATGTTGCTCTAATCTTAACTCATTATCACACCAGTATCCAATGCTACCCATTTTCTTCAGATGGAGGTCAATGTCCTATATATATAACTCGTACAACAACAATAAGATGACATAATGTCCAAACAATGTGGGTTCAACCATGCGAATTTTTTTATGCATTGAACTCAAGGAGAAAAATCTTGGCCAATCTGGCAAACAAGAAGAGTCCAAAAATGAAGGAAAAAGATACAGGACGCAATCGAGACAAGCAAGCCTGACATTGGATGTACATGATAAAAGCAGTCAAACAGAAGACAGCTGCACTATATATGTATCTATATACACACACAGAGAAAGAGAGAGAGTTGGGGAGGGTTGCTCTTTCTGACGGACTGTTGCAGGTGGAGCTCATGCAACGAGAGCTCCTCTCTCACAGTGGAATATTCCAGGATAGATAAAACAAAAACATGGACTGTTTCGATGCTGAAATAAATCTTGTGGTGGCCTAATCTTCTTTGGCTTCTGTGCACTCACCTTTCAAGGATTTGAATGCTTTTCAAGGAGAAACATGACAGCTGCTGCTTCTGTTTCTTATCAATAGTATAAGTCCAATATCAGAAGCTGGTCATCATTGCCTTTCACCATTTATTTATGTATGACATGTGTTCTTTTTTCTCTCTCTTTCTGTATACAATGGGAGCTTAGGTTCTTGACCAACACTTTAATCTGTGTGAGTGATTTCCACTCAGATTAAGGTAATTGACTGCAGCTTTAGGAACATATACAATTAGTGATAAGTTCATGTCTAAATATGAACTAATGTGATAGATTGTTCCCCAAACATTTTGATTCCTGCTTAGATTAATAACACATATATAGGATCATAAAAGCGCCAAAAATTGCTCGAATACTACATTCAACTCTTTGGTGACAGTAATTTGAAGTCCATGCAGCTTGTTCATACTACCATTTTTGCTAGAATGCTTCATTCAACTCTTTGCTGGAATACTACCATTTTTGTTCATATTAATAGTACAATTGAAAAATATCCCTACAAGGCTAAACATGGCTGGTGGACTATAAATCTCACAGGAAGCAGAATACAAAAAACATGCAAAAATGTTCTGATGTTCCTTACATTTTCTAGATAAATTACAGCTCAAAACATTAGCTAATGCTTAAACATGATGCCCTATAACTTCTTAGTCTCCGAGAGCTTATAACTGAGAGAGAGAGAGAGAGAGAGAGAGAGAGAGAGAGAGAGAGAGAGTGAAGATGATCAGACAAAAAGGATCTTGGTGATTGCATTGCATACTTAATTAGATCATGGACATGGAATGCCTGTTGAAAGCTGGTAGGATGATTACTTTTTATGGTTGGCTCTGAGAGCTCAAATCTCCTTGGGGCCTGCAAAGGCTTTGATCCTACAGCTTTTGAATGGATCCAAAAGCAAGCAGGACTGTGAAAAGTGCATGCTTTCTCTTTCTATATAGATGGAGTCACCCATGACAGCGAGGATCCACTAAAGTAACTTGGCTCTTTGCAAGAGAGGAAAAAGGAGAAAAGATCACAACATCCATTTTCTTATGGGGCAATCCTGGCGGATTATGTGTGATGAGTTCCATCAAAGTGATATCATAGGTACAATTTATATTCCATTTACACTGCAAACCCTAAGGAAGGTGCTGAGGAGCCATCAATCAACAAGAAATCTTGTGAGAAATTCTCTTTTTAATGCATAATTTCACATAGACAATCTATGAATTAAAAAAAAAAAAGAATATGATGACAAGCATTTGCTCTGCTTTTTCGTTTAAAAATATTAATATATCAAGAATCAATGGTTTGAGTGAAATCTCCTGTTCAACTAAAAATATGATAAATTATGAGCCCATAGGTGACAGATTCTCCTATATTTGTCATTATTATGGTAAGGCAAGATTATGAAGTTGATTGCATCCTGTAATTATTGTTGTCAACTTGATCAAATGTTTGGAATCTACTTTTGAGAAGACAAGAAAACTATGTATAATCTTTTTGATTATACATATGAAATAAGGAAAAATATGGTAACAGAAAGGAACAACTTTGAGAAAAGTTAATCTTATCTCAGAATATATATTACTTTGCTATGTAATCTTAGCAAAATGGAAGCTTCCTAAAGTGGAGCAAGTTGAGTAATTTTTCTGTCCTATTATGGATAACACACACACACACTTGAATTTGCTTGCAAGTTTCACCCATGCATGCTGTTCTCCAAGGTTGGAGGAAGAGTGACCATGCATGGTATGCATGCATGCAGGACAACCACTGGCCACTCATGACCGGATCGGACCCACGTAGTTCAGCCATGGCTCCCACCAGCATCTTGCCAATGGCAGGATGCCACATCACCAAGGATGATCTTAGCTACATCCATGAGAGCAATCATAAAAGAAAAGGAATGGCTGAGAGACTTCAGATCAGGCAGTGGAAGCCAAGAAAAAGGTGGCTGGCGGTGGGACGACTGCACCAGGCTCACAGATTGCACCATGCAATCCATGGGCATTCCGCTGGGAAAGGTGCAGCACGGTCCACTGCAAAAGATTTGGTTCCCTGGTCTTCCAATGCCTCTCCTTCCAGCTACCTTGGTCAACAAGTGCTACAGGAGGAACCACAGCAGCTTTGTCATCAAATATCATGGTATCGCAGCAGTAAGATCTCTTCACATCATTAGGAGAAAGCTACAAAGAGGATCCCAAGATGACAGTACCTCAGGGTCCCATTAGATTTGTGGCCAGGACTTGTACTTATCTTGTCCCACACCTGTCTATAAATGAAATGCCCTCATGGAAAGAGCGGTGAGTGATATGTGTCCCTCTGCCCTTTTCTTTGGTAGGCTGGTTTCTGGTCCTGTCTCTTTTCCAGCTCTCTAGCAGAGACGAGGTGTGTTCCATCTGCTCTCTCTTCAGTGTACCAGCAGCACTAGCAGGAGAGAGTATATTGAAGAGGAGTAATTAGATACAGGTGAAAAGATCACACATGATGGGTTCTTCCTGGTAATGCGACAGCTGCTTCTCCTTTTGGCCATCCGATGATACTTTCTATCTGTTCTTGTTCATGAAACTCTTCACAGCCCACCTAGGTGCCTCTAGGATCCTTCTCAAACCATCTTCCCTCCTAAGTCTCTCTCTCTCTCTATCTATCTATCTGTGCATGCATGGTTACTTCTTTCATCTGTCAACAACAGTGACCATCATTTCTTTGTTCTTATCTCGTGTTACTGTTCACATAGTCTCATCCTTTCTTTCTACTTCCAATCTAACACGAGACTTTAGAGGTATATCAACAGTTAAGTTAATTGGTTCTACCCTGCAATGGAGTTTGCACTGTTCTGTACAATAGTTGATATCCTTTTACTGCTTCTGGCTCTCTGTTCTCCATGTAAGTTCATCCAGAGCCCCATGGACTTTCGTCCCTTGAGCTTCCTCCAGAGCACAAACACATCATCTCTGGACTTCGGAAGGATCAAGTTCAACTCTCCTGCTGCAGTCCTCAGACCCCAATCCCCCAAAGAGATCTCACTCCTCCTCAGCTTTCTTTCTGCTTCATCCTTCAGTAAAGTCACAGTTGCAGCCAGAGGAGCTGGCCACTCCATCCATGGCCAAGCTCAAGCCCTCGATGGAGTTGTGATAGAGATGGATTCCCTGCCCTCCAACATAAGCATCCACAAAGGAACAGAATTTAGTCCTTCCTATGCTGATGTTAGCGGTGGAGCTCTTTGGATAGAACTGTTAGAAGAAGGCTTAAAGTTTGGGCTAGCTCCAAGGTCTTGGACTGATTACCTCTATCTCAGCATTGGTGGGACTCTCTCCAATGGTGGCATCAGTGGCCAGACATTCAAGTATGGACCTCAGATCAGCAATGTCTTACAACTAGATGTGGTGACAGGTAACTTGAAACAAGAAAATGGTCACCTTTTCTCCTGTTAATCCTTTCTTATATGTGATGAGAGATCATAGATTTTGTTTCTTCTATTATGTTTAAGGTAAAGGAGATCAAGTAGCATGCTCACCCACTGAAAACTCAGAGCTTTTCTATGCTGTGCTGGGTGGATTGGGCCAGTTTGGCATAATAACAAGAGCAAGGATCCTGCTTCAGGATGCTCCACAGAAGGTAATTCCAAAGACTTTCACTTGTGTTTACCGATCATACTAGATTCTAATTCTTTTGTGGATGTTTTGGCTTGGATAGGTGAAATGGGTCAGAGCATTTTATGATGACTTTAACACCTTCATTGATGACCAAGAACTCTTGGTTGCAATGCCAAATGTGGTTGACTATGTTGAGGGATTCATGCTTCTAAATGAACAGTCCTTACAAAGTTCATCCCTTGCCTTCCCATCTCATCTAGAGTTCAACCGTGAGTTCTACAGCAAGAGCAGCCACAATGTCTACTTCTGCATTGAGTTCGCCATCCATGACTACCAAGCCAAGAGCACAAATGTAGAGCAAGTCAGTAGCTCCCAAACAAACAGCTCCTTTGACAGTTCAAGCTCTTAAGATGGTGAAGGTCTGATGTTTATCCTTCCTTTCAGGTTGTGACTGAGATTTCGAGGAAGATGAGCTACATACCTTCCCATTTCTACAGTGTGGAGGTGTCCTACTTTGATTTCCTCAACAGGGTTAGGGGTGAGGAAGTCCACCTAAGGAGCAGAGGGCTGTGGGAGGTGCCTCACCCATGGCTCAACATGTTTGTGCCCAAGTCTGGCATCAAAGACTTCAAAGACTTGCTGCTGAACAACATCTCACCAAGTGACTTTGAAGGCCTTGTTCTCATGTACCCAATTCTAAGGGACAAGTAAGAAAAGAATTCTTCATAAAACCTCAAAATAAAATGCGTTCACCTCAAATGCATCATATATAGTTAGATAAGGAAACTAGTGCCTCTCTTTAGACAGATACCTCTTATTCACCTTTTGTGGCACCAATCTCCCCCCTTGTGTTATCTAATTGTTGAGACTTTTCTTTTCTCTCTCCTTCTTCTTTCCTATAGGGACCATGGAGGGAGATTTTAAGGTTGTAGTAGCAAAGTTTGCATATGGTATTTCTGAGGTCCAGAAGAACAATACTGTAGGGTCTTTTTCGGTGTTACTGAAATGCATCAGACACAATAACAAATATGCTAAATATCATGGCAAGGATTCAAACCCTTGATATGTGAAAGAAGGATCCAGATACACACCACCAAACCCGATACAACGAACGTGATACATGGCTTGTTTACTCACTACCTACTTTGAGTTCCCTCTATCAAAGGCTTGACCTTGCAAAACCTTTCTGAAATGTCCCCCAATATGTACTGTAAATGACTGTTTTACTTTCTATAATCAGAGCCTCAGCATCTAATTCTTTCTTTTGATAAGATTCAGAATCGTGTGCTAAAAGTACTTTAATTGTATGATTGTTTCCTTTTGTCAATGCTTTGAGGACATGTTGTCCTTTGTAGTGTCTAAGAATCTGTATGAAGTAAGAGAAGGAAAGCTCAATCCTAAAGAAAAAGAAACTATGTAAGATCTCATTGAGGCATTTTGTCATACAAGGAGGTGTAGATTTGACCTGATGAGGATGATTCGTTTTGCAGGTGGGACACAAACAGCTCGGCTGTGCTGCCGGACGCCGGGGAGGCAGGGGAGGAGGTGGTGTACACAGTGGGAGTGCTCCGGTCAGCCAACCCGGCCACCTGCTCCGCCCAGTGTCTCAATGACATCCTCCTTTGCCACCGTCGGGTGGCGCAGGCTGCCTCGAGTCCCCGTATCGGGGCGAAGCAGTACCTGCCGCACCATCTCTCGCAGAGCCATTGGCAGCATCACTTCGGCCGGCGATGGGACCAGTTCATGGCGCGGAAGGCTCAGTTTGATCCCCGTCACATCCTCGGCCAGGGCATCATCCTTCCTGGAACAAAAGCGCCTCGTCCTTAAATAACAGATAGATTGGAGGGAGAAGATGGATGTAATGTGTTCTATGATTCTTCTATTTTCTACGTGCTTTCTTTCTCTGTTTTCGAGGATTTTTTGGAACGCTGTAAGGTGCAATGAGCAGACCATAGAACTGTTAAGGTTCTGCATCCGGTGATGGATACAAACGAAAAGGAGAGACAGCATTACCTCGATCTGAGGCCTTTTCATGTGTCATTGGGCATGGCTTTCAGAGTAGATATGAGATAATGCAGATCAAGCAGTGAGAGTGAGAGAGAGAGAGTCAAGTTTGGGATGACAATTTAGGACCGTAGGACCGGGAATGTGAGCACAAAATCTAGCTTCGAGACCAGAATCCAAAAGTAAGTCAACAATCGTAAGAAACACTTGGACTTGTGCTATTAGTGACAATTTAGATACTTGGTGCTGGTAGTGAACCTCTATGTCGTTTGAGGAGCCTATATGGCTTAGTCCGATTGTCAATGTCCAGGATCATTCCGGGGATGAGACTTTCGTCAGGTTGGGTTCAGCTCCTCTTCGGTGTGCACGTCCTTCGTCACCTCCGGATTCCTGCATACTGGCTTAAGTTGGGATGAAAGAGGTATCCCGACTTAGATCCCTCCAAAGATTAAGTCAGTGAAACTTTTATGAAAAGAATACAACAAATGAACTCGGAATGATTCGATCAAAGTATCAAATTTATTAAAATACTTGCGCATATCCCTCGATCATCAAATGGTGAGAATCACATGATTTCAATTATACCTGTTCACTTTTTAAGCCTCGTTATTTAGTTGACCAAAAGCAATTATACTTGAAGACTTAAACAATTAAAAATAATAATAATAATATATATATATATTATAATTCTTATTTTTTTAAAGATTTAATAATAATATAATTAATAGTAATTAATTTGAGTTTATTAAATGGATGTTAATGTTATATATATATATATATATATATATATATATATATATATATATATATATATATATATATATGAAATTTCTATATATATGTGTATATTATATTAGCATTTGAAGGACCGAGAATATTCTATTTAAGAACTTTGAAAGGAAAGTTGTATAAAACAAAAAAAAAATTAGTCAATTTATATGCATTGGCTTCCTCAGGGCTGAAACATAATGTGGGTACTAAAACAAGTGGAAAATGTAGATGATGAAGATAAAACCTTATCAAAAAACAGCTATTCCACAAATTTATTGATATGCTTTCATCACAAACTAGCAACTTCCATGGATTGCTATGTTCAAACAAAAAAAAGAGGCTTAGAATTATTAGACAGTTTTGAAAACAGGCAGAAAAATCTCAGCATCAATCTCCACAGGCCTTTTTATTGATAGAACTCTCTCCCCAATTTATCAGCTTCATAGTATAGACTAGATCTGATCTATTATCAACTTACAAAGACATTGTCCCCATTATCATCTGTAAGAATAAACTAAATTTTTTTTCTCTGATCCATTAGTATTTATTTTATACGAAAAAGTTCAAGCTGAGTCCAATTAATAAAACTAGTAATATTTTTCTTAAGTCCCTTCAAATAGGAATCTCCTGATAATCCAATGTGAGTGAGATTAGAAGCTTGAAGTGATGCAAAACAATACTTGAGCTATTGAAGAGTCTCAAGGAAACAGGGTTTTGCAGGAGTTGGTTTTGAAGTAGAAACCAAATTCCCAGATTTCCAGGAGAAGCAGCTGTAGCAGATGTATTCTTCTGCAAGGTTCTCTAAGATAAGAATGCTGAATCCTTCTTATTGCAAGTTCTGCCCTTGAAGAATGCCAATGCCTGCAAGTCATCTCAGTGGACATCATGCTGCCCACATATGGTGGACTTGTGGCAGAACCATATGACAAGGTAGGGATGTGTGCCTGCTTTTGTTTCTCCTCTTATTTTTGAGAAGATGGCAGACATGTATTGGTGACTAACATTCCACACTTTCACTGCTTGTAACACTTGCACTGCCTCATTTGCCATCTCCATCTCTCCAAGAAGTGACTACATCCACCAAGGGAAAAGGAGTTCCATTTGGATAAGATTCTTACTTCTCTCATGCCTGCCCATTTCTAGTGGATCATCAAAACCACTGAAGTGCTCCTCCAATTGGAATATTTTTAGCATGTCCTCTTTGGCATCTGAAACAACTTCCTGCCCCTCCACATCCACTTTAACCAGAGTGGATAGATGAAAAGGAGAGAGCAGCATCACTCTCTACTGGCCTACTAATCATTGCTCACTTATCTAAGCTTTGGTAAGTAGGCATTGGCTTTCACGGAGCCATACTGGGTTCCTGGTAGTGGTATCACCGTCATGGTGGTGATGATTAAAGCTCTTATTTTATGTGATTGATGTCCAAGTGGATCTCCATGTGGCAAAGATCAAGCTGCCTCCGCTGGTGCTAATGGACAATGAATGAGAAGCCTACTTTCTTGGTGGTGCATGTCACTTTTCTTCCATTTTGGTGCTGATTGATGAGTAGGTCAAAGATCACACCTGACATGCATGGGAAAGCCTATCAATTTTCTACACATGATGGAAGCATGAGTTGAGATCAATGCCTTGTGAAAACAATTTCTTTGGAGAGCTGCAACCCTGAAATGTTGTGGTGCCTTCTACGAGCACTTGATCTTTTCTTTGTGATTCTTTTCATCTGAATAGAAAGAGGTTCCACCTTTTACGCTTCTTTTTCTTTCTCAGTGGCTGGTCCCAGTTCCAGAAACGTGATGGCTGTGTCAATTTGCAGGCTAAGTTTTGTGGAGATGCAGAGATCAAGTCTCACAATCCAGCTTTTTGAACTTTGACTAGGAGTCACGAACCTATTAAAGCTACACAGAAAGGAGCAGCTGATCTGGTTGCAGTGCAAGTTTGGTACTGTAGATTCCCCAAGCAATGGACTAATCCATGCATGTCGTTTTCTCCTTTCCTAAATGCTGATTTCTCCTTCTTCTTCTTCTTCTTCTTCTTCAAGAAGATACAATGGAAGGTTTGGGCATCAGCTTTTGTTTCTTCTTTATGTAGAATTGTGAGCAGTCATAGTATCTCAACTCATCTGATCATATATTTGAGAGTAATCGACTGTCTTTTCTGCAAACCTAATATGAGAAGCAAAGTCCGCAGCAATTGCAGAAGCAGGCTTGTAGGCTGATGCATCCCCTGACACGATCTCGTTGACACTGCTGCTCCAAAAAGTCAAAAAGGCAGATCCATTCCATCACCTGATATGATCGATCCTGCAACACATACATCGATCCTTCTTCTTCCCCCAATACACAAGCAATTCTACTACAACCCTTCCTTTCGTTTCCTCTTCTGTTTGATCCTCACCGAAGAAGGGCTCAACACGTCAACCCGTGGCTACGTAATCGCCTACCGAGCTCCCAAACCGATGAAAGCAGCGCGGTGACGCACGTGACACCCGCTTTGGTTTGACTCCCGCCTCTCCCGGGCAGCTGCCGGTGGCCGTCGCCTTACTGGTTACCGCCTACTCCCTGTTTCCGAGTCCTCTGAAGTCCTCGCCGTCGTCCGCCATGAATGACCGCAACTTTTCAGCTCCAAACCAACTCCATTAATTGTTTGGTCTTCGCCACGAAAAAGTGTCTCTTTTTTCTGTTCTCAAATTGAAATCATGCTTCGAAGTCGAGTGGATTAATCTAACATCAAGCACTATATCTTTTTTCTGTTTCAGAGAGCTCTCTTCTGTTCTCCTACTACATTTGCGGTGGCTACAGGAAGACAATTTAAAGAGGGAACTCCAACCTTTCATCCTCCTTTCTTCCCCAGCTCTACACTTCAGTTTTGATGGTGGAGCACTTTGGTCACCCACTTGGTGCGTTTAGGATTTGTAAAGGCGACACCTTTACCACTCTCCATCCTTCTCTGCCTCAAGGAATCAGCTGAACCCGGTAACAGGGGAACTTGGAGTTCCAGTTTTGGAGGCTTGTTTTGGTGATCAGCTACGATGGTGAAGAAAGGAGTTTCTTTGGTGTCTTTTTGGGAGCAAAGATGGAGCTTCTTGTTCTTCTTCCTCTTCCTTCAAGGTCTGCACACCAAGTCCCAGGGCTGCTACTCTGGTGATCTCAAAGCCTTGCTGGATTTCTCGCGAGGGTTGGATTCTGGGGTCAAAAGTTGGAGCTTTAATGCCTCCTCGTCCGATTGCTGCGGCTGGCCTGGCGTTTCTTGCGAGGATTCGGTGGATTCTGGACGACGAGTGATTGGGTTGGAGATCCAAAATATGAGCTTGAAGGGTTCCCTCTCGGATTCCCTGACCGAATTGGATCATCTTGTACACCTTAATCTTTCTTCCAATCTCCTTAAAGGCACTGTTCCATCTGCGCTATTTCATCTTCGCCGGTTGGAGCTGCTCGATCTCAGCTTGAACGAGTTCTCCGGCTCGATTCCGGTTGATCTATACCTTCCTTCGATTCTGGTTTTCGATCTCTCCTATAATATCTTCAATGGCAGTCTTCCGGCCTTCACCGGATCAACAAAATTGACGACGCTCGATGTCAGCTTCAATGCGTTCTCCGGCAGCCTTGACATGTCAATATGCAGTTCTTCTCCTGGAATTAGAATCCTTCGGCTCTCGACGAACAACTTCTACGGCCAACTCCCGGAGGACGTTGCGAACTGCAATTCTCTCGAGGAACTCTACATTGATCTGAATGAGATCTCCGGGAATCTGCCAGAGGCGCTGTTCAAGCTGTCATCTTTGAGGACACTAAATCTTCAAGAGAATCAACTATCAGGCAGATTGAGCTCAAGCTTGGGAAATCTCTCTAACCTTGAGCAGTTGGATCTCTCACTGAATTCGTTCTCAGGTTATCTTCCGGATGTCTTTGACAGATTAAACAAGCTTCAATATTTGTCTTCCCATTCCAATGGCTTTGGAGGTCATCTACCTTCTTCCTTGTCGAACTTGTCATCTCTCCGAGTGCTCAATCTGAGGAACAATTCGCTCGCTGGCGAGATCACTCTCAACTGCACGATTATGACTCGCTTGAGCTATCTTGATCTCGGAACGAACTCCTTCACCGGCCCTATTCCTTATAGCATGCATCAGTGTGCGGCGCTGCGAACTCTGAATCTTGCAAGGAACAACCTGAGCGGCGAAGTCCCGATTAGCTTCAAGAATTTTGTTTGGCTATCGTACCTCTCTCTCTCCAACAACAGCTTGTCGAACATCTCCTCGGCCATGGAGACCCTGCAGGGTCTCCCGAGACTCACCGGTTTGGTCCTCACCATGAGCTTCCATGGCAGGGAGACGATGCCAGTGGACGGGATTCAAGGATTTCGACAGATACAGCTTCTTGTTATCGCAAACTGCGGCCTTTCTGGATCAGTGCCGCCATGGCTGGCCAACTGCACCAAATTGATGGTCTTGGATTTGTCTTGGAATCATTTGGAAGGGACGATCCCTTCATGGATGGGGAATCTTCATCACCTTTTCTACTTGGATTTGTCTAACAATTCACTCAGCGGCGAGATCCCAGAAAGTTTGGCTTATGCCAAGGGCCTCATCTCCTCCAATACTTCACAGCAAGGACCTCCAACAGAGTATTTTCCCTTCTTCATCAAAAGGAACAACAGTAGGAAGGGATTGCAGTATAACCAACTCAGCAGCTTTCCACCATCCTTGATTCTGTGCAGTAACATGCTTGATGGACCAATCCCGCCGGGGCTTGGCAACCTGAAGAGGCTCCATGCACTGGACCTAAGCAAGAACAAGCTGTCAGGGACCATACCTGATGAGTTATCGGGCATGTCAAGCTTAGAGAGCTTAGATTTGTCGCACAATGACCTCACAGGACGAATCCCTCTGTCGCTAACCAGGTTGAATTTTCTTTCCAGTTTCTGCGTCGCCTACAATAATTTGAGTGGCTCCATCCCAACCGGCGGCCAATTCTCGACCTTCTCGAGCTCCGATTTCGAGGGGAACCCAGGTCTCTGTGGCTATCACTTGAACTCTTGTTCTCATGATCTACCTGAAGCTCCGGATCAAACAGTCGGCGGTCAAAGGCAGGATAGGGGTTTGATCATTGGAACAATCGCTGGAGCTGGATTCGGAACAGCTTTTCTTCTGGTTCTCATCTACTTGTTTGTCTCAAGGACTTGGTACCGCAGGAAGGAGGACACAGTAAAGCCAATAGCGGATTGCAATGGAAGCTTAGAGGCAGGGGGGCCGAGTTTAGTGCTCCTGTTTCAGAACAAGGACAACAAGGAGCTAAGCATCAGTGACATCTTGAGATCAAGCAACAACTTCGACCAGGCCAACATCATTGGGTGTGGAGGCTTCGGACTGGTGTACAAAGCAACTCTGCCAGGGGGGAGGAACGTGGCAATCAAGCGGCTCTCCGGCGACTACGGCCAGATGGAGAGGGAGTTCCAGGCCGAGGTAGAAGCTCTTTCCAGAGCTCAACACAGCAACCTGGTTCTGCTTCAAGGTTACTGCAAGATTGGGAGTGACAGACTTCTGATCTACTCATACATGGAGAATGGAAGCTTGGACTACTGGCTTCACGAGAAGGTCGAAGGAGGATCTATGCTGGATTGGCGCAAAAGGCTTCGGATAGCACAAGGAGCAGCAAGGGGATTGGTGTACTTGCACCAGTCGTGCGATCCGCACATACTGCACCGCGACATCAAGTCGAGCAACATCCTGCTCGACGAAATGTTCGAAGCTCACCTGGCCGATTTCGGCCTTGCTCGGCTCATTCTGCCGTATGACACGCATGTCACCACCGATTTGGTCGGCACTTTGGGCTACATCCCACCTGAGTATGGCCAGTCCTCGGTTGCCACCTTCAAGGGTGACATATATAGCTTCGGCGTCGTTCTTCTGGAGTTGCTCACCGGGAAGAGGCCACTAGATATGTGCAAGCCGAAAGGTGGGAGGGAGTTGGTGTCGTGGGTTGTCCAGATGAAGAAGGAGACGAGGGAGGCAGAGGTGTTCGATCCGTGTATCCACGAGAAGGCGGTCGAGCGCCAGCTGCTGCAGATGCTTGAGATCGCTTGTCTTTGCTTGAGTGACTCCCCCAAGCTGAGGCCTTCGACAAAGATGCTTGTTCAATGGCTTGATAACATTGGTGTTTGAGTAAGGTTATCTTCTTCCATCATGCAGAATGGAGCTCTCTTTTTGTGCTTGCTGGTCGCTTGAGAATCCTGGTGCATTATGTTCTGGGGTTGGATGGCTTGATAACCTTAGGTATGCACATATGTCTTTAGTTAAACATTTGATGAAATAATGAGGGGGCAGATACAGATTTTGGATTCATGGCCTGCCTTAAGACCATGAGAATGATCTTTACTGGGAGATCAGAAATCTTAAAAAGCTCAATATAAACTTACAAGGCATTTTATCTATCTCAGTGATTTTGATTAGGGAATAGTTACCTAGGTGGTTTCATTAAGGAACCCTTATTGAATGGGAAACCTAATATGACCTTTGATGATGATACTTTTGCAGGGGCAGGAGTTCCTTCATTACTAGTAAGTACAGCTATGTCGCAAGGAAATGATCCAAGTTACTCTCAGGAAGACGACAAAGTCTACACTGTATCATTAAGCACTGATCTATGGTAATTGGTAGGAAGATTTCCATGAAGTAGGAGATAATAGTGACAAAGATGTTCTTCTTTGTATCTCATGTTTGGAATGTTCTTAGATTTTTTGCAATTAAGAATATCATGTAGCTTATGATGAACAAGAATATTAACTACTGAAGTTGCATTCCTTTTCCTTAAATATTAAGGAACCATATGAAAATGTAGAACAATAAGTGCATGATCGAGCAATTATATATATATATATATATATATATATATATATATATATATATATATATATATATATATATATATATATATATATATATATATATATATATACTATTATGCTATACTAATGTTTGTAAGGACAAATAGTTAAGACACGTTTCTTCATTGCGTATTACATGCCCACGCTTTGTGCTGATGTGTTCGACCAACGGTCTGTGATCTTTGCGGGTACCACGTTTTCTAGTCAATCACGCTTCGGGTAGGTTATGCGAGTAGGTAAAGAAGTACTCCTCCGAATCCACCTGGTTTCGCCCGCCACCGACCTTGCCCCTTCTGTCTCGTGTTCATCGACCGGCGGTTTATTTGGTCTTTCTTATTCTGGTTTTCTTGGCGCCGCTGATCGACTACTTTCCAACCATTGATTCGTGGAGATCTGAAACCCTTAGGAACCTTGAGGAACGAGTACGATCGCCGCAGCCGTGCCGAAGGTGGCGGTTCCTATTTCTCAACAGCCCTAGAATTGATTAGACAAGGTTAACGACTCCGCTCTGTGGCAGGACTGGATCTTCCCGCTCTCATAATCTTCGAACCATCCTTTCTCTCTCTCTCTCTCTCTCTCTCTCTCGCTCGCTCGTTCGCTAATTCGACCAATCGGTGCCCCGTTGGTAATCTTTGAAAAGGTTTATCTTGTTTGCTTTTGAGATAATAAGGGATTGCTTTTGACAGTTCAAATACTCATTTAATCTTTTTTGGTGGGAAAACTCAAAATTTAGGATTTCGACAAGGAAAAAATGATTGAAGTTGTCGAAAGAAGAACGAAAGATTAAATCTTGCAGATTCAACTGATTTGGATCGAATGTAGGGTTCCAGTATATTGTTGTACGACGCAAAAGGTTTTCCATTTCTTGAATTCCTTGGTAAATGGTGGTGTGCTTTAGTGCCTCTTCATTTGTTTTCCGTGCAACTGGTTGTTTACACCTGAATGTGCATGCGTTATATTGTTTTGCTTATGATAGTGTTGTTGCTTTGTTGTTTGATTGCAACGAGGTCGATCATCTTCGCATTTCTAAGTAAGGCCCAACAAATTGGAATTGAGGTCCCTTTTAACTTCATTCTTCTGCTGTCTCTGAGCGTCCAGTTCAAGGCAATGGTTGTAACGTTTCTATTTTTGAAGTCCTTCAACATATTCTTGTTGATTTACCAACCTTGCATTCTTCACAACTTATGCTCTTTCAGTGCTTCTCTGGGTTGAGGTTCATTGTCAGGTTTGAAATTGATTAGTAAAGAAGTGGTCTTTCTTAATTTCCCTGTTTCTTGGTCATTCTTGTGCCTCGAGCACATTCAGTATCAACTGATGGATTCAAGCCAACTTTCTTTTAAATTAATAAGATAGTTTACTCTCTACCAGTAACTTTGATTAAATCATAAAGCCTGGATGAAGTAAACAATATGTATGCCTCCATTTTCCTTCTTGTAGAGTAGATTTATGGTTTACTTGCCTTAAATTTGTTGCTTAAATATTGCTCTGTATTTCCGATACTTCTTGTATGAGTTGTAGACTTTGTATATCATTGGAACTTCAGAAATTGAAAATATATATACAACAGAATAAAGTAGTTGTAGATCCTTTCTCTTTTCTGTAGCCAACTCATCTTTCAGGCTTGTGCAACAAAAACTACTAAATTATTTAGTCTCTTGGAAACATATTTTTCCATCCTCTGAAGTCATGAATTTTGAGCTTGAGATTTTGTGAGACTTTTTAACTTAATTCGTTGAAATATGGATGGAAAAGTATAATATTCCTTTTTTTTGGAATTTAAGTTTAGTTTTGTTGGAGTTCTGTTAGAATCCATCCTGTGCTTATCTTGTCGAAGCTGTATTTTTCAGGTAGTGTTTGATTACAGTTGTTGGTTTTATACTAGATGCAACTTCTACTAGTTGATGAATAAAGCAGGAAAATATGGATTATTAGGTGTTTCATTCTTTCCAGCCCTTGGGTTTCTCCTTTATTGAGGGAGGTAAGTTTTTTATCATACTCTTCCCTGATATGTGATCCATCCAGTCTTAATGTGTTTTCTTCAAATTTTTGTAATTTTCAGTCTCTCTGTTGTTACTCATGTCCTTGTTGCAAATCAATCATAGAGTTCATATTTGATTAGCAAGATAACTCAAACCTAAAATATCATGCTCATTTATACCTTTATTTATCATCCTTGCTTCTGTTTTGGTACGTAAGAATCATTTAGTTATATCTACTTCATCTGATGACGGGTGTTCTAAGATTTATACAATTCTTGTGGTGTCTCTGCTTGATCTATATGGCCATTATGATTGGTTGCAGGTATGCTCTAACTTAGATGAGTGGGTTATCTCATAACATGTGTGCATGACAAGATTTAAAATCTCATGGTATACTACTTGTACCAGGTGGTATCTGCTGGAGTGTTACATGGTCAGTCTAGCGGTATACAGTGATTCAGGGCAAACCAGCCTTCAATGCCTTAAATGATACAGTTCAAGTATTGTACTGGTCCAGCTTGTGATTTTAATGGTATATTGCCTGTACCAGGGGGTCTATGCTGGACTGGTAAATCGACAGTCAACTACCAGGTAATATTCAGTGATTCAGGTCAAACCAGTCTTCAATGTTTTATTTAAATCATACTAGTTAAACAGTTGATTAGTCCAGCTTGTGATTTTCAAACTGACTCAAGCTTGAACTGGCTAGTGGTTCAACTTAAGTTAGAATCTAGGGTTTGCTTCTGTTCAATCTTCCTTCCAAAGCTGTCAAGCAGTGGCCATCACTGAGAAGTGGAGAGAAATGTAGAACTGGAAAGAAGAGGATGAAAAAGGATGAAGAGGGTAGAAGACACTCGTTTACTGGAGGTTGTTCCTTTTTTAAGAAATGGTTGGCATAATTGGTAAATGATACTATATTGGTCCAGCTAGGGAGCAATATGATACCTGTGATGAAATATTAATCTTTGGCACAGGATGAATGTTTCAGATGCTCTGAAACATGAAATAATCCAGAAAATGTCTGAAACTGAAGATCCGTCTATTGACCTACATGGATAATCTTGATAGTTGATACTAAATTATATTGTTTGAACTTAAATACTTTACCATTTCGGGTAAAGGAATTCTTCTATAAGGCTTGCCATGACTAACAATTAATTTTAGGGTGTAGAACTACTTTCTTTTCACATATTGAATATGTACATATATTTTTTTCTTGGCTACTGCTTTTACTGGGCTTTATCTGTTGTCGGTTTTAAGCTTTCTCTAACATCAGAGGTAAAAAGACGCAGGAAGTATATACAAAATTGTGTCGGTAATTGCTTCTGCTTGCTTTCTCAATTTTTTTTTTTCATTTGTTTGTAGGTTGGATTTGCCACAACTGTATGTTTCTCTTGTTTCTTGCCGGGATGCATCTTGAAAGTTCAATCCCTGGAAAACAGTTCTTGGTTTAAATGCAATTGACAAAGCTATAGACCTCGACGTTCTCAGCATCATGGTCAGCATCAGAGTATCCAAACTCCATCAATTGAGTTCATGTGCTCATTCTCTGCTGGCTGCAGTGTTGTTGTTGATGCAGCAAGGCGCACAAGACAGAGGAGCTACGGCTGAAGATGTGAATGATGAAGCCGCAGCCACTGGGTGTCATCTTCACATAAACGTGAGACATGAATCCTTGTCCTTTTCCACAGTTTGCTCGTGCATTACAATTAACATGGCTGATGGGCATCCCCAGCGGTACGGCACACTCAATCCGAATAAAGATTGGAACATGGCTCACCACATGGTGGTCCTTTTTGACTTTGACCAGCCACGTGCACTCAAATTTTGCACGTCAGCACACACATTAAACGAACACTAGACTCTATTATCATTTTTATTTAAAATCCATAGGCCTTTATTTGTTGGAATAATTAGGTATGTCCCCAAACATGTAAAAATTTTGATTGGAAGATATATATATATATATATATATATATATATTGGTGATTCTAAAAAGAAAACCCATATTTTGGTTATTTTCTAATTGATATCCCAATTTTTTTCCAAACATGATCCCTAATTTTAAAAAATATTTAAATTATTTTTTTAATTTTTTTTGTCTGTTATAGTGTTTTGGTTTGTTATAATATTTTTGGTCTATTATAATGTTTTAGCCACTACAACAAAGACACCATAAAACTTCTTTAAAAATATTATAAAGAATTAAATCGATTTTAATTTTAATCGAACTAATTATAAGTTTAAATTTTTGATATCGCAATTGATTGTAAGCAATAACAATAAAAAAAAGCATGATATGATGTCATTTATGATGTTTTAATAATATTTATAAAATATGATAAATATTATTAAAAAATCATAAACAATCGGAATGAAAATATTATAATAACTAAAAATAGATTAAAAAATTGGTAAAAAACTAAAAAAATATTTTAGATTATTTTTTAAATTAAAGATATTATTAAAAAAGAAAAAATATTTAAAAATATAAAAATATTAATTTTTTTAAGAAAATGAACCTATATAAAACTCAAATTAACACCGATATTTAAATATATATATATGTATATATATATATACATATAAATATATATATATATATATATATACATACATATATATATGTATGCATATATATACATATATACATATATATATGTATGTATATATACAAATATACATATATATGTATATATATACATACATATATATGTATGTGTATACATAGATGTATCTATATGTATACATACATACATATATGTATACATACATACATATATGTATATATATATGTATAAATATGTATATACATATTTATACATGTATATATACATATATGTATGTATGTATACATATATATGCATATGTATATATATGCATGTATATATGTATATATACATATGCATATATATGTATATGTATATGTATACATTTATGTATATATATATATTGTAAACGCTCTGTAGTAAACTTTTGTATATGATATGCACACATTCCAAGTCGCAGGACCAGCAACATGCATCAACTGACACTTCCGTCATCATCATTAACTTCCTCGTAAGGAGAACAATCCCTCGATTGAGTCTCAATAGCAGACAACGACGTCGAGTAGCATTTAGGTTGAAGGCCACCACCGTCACCGCCGCAAGCAGCACAACCTCCCTCATCAGTTACTTCCTCGTAAGGAGAACAATCCCCCGATTCAGTCTCAATAGCAGACACCGACGTCGAGTAGCATTTACGTTGACGGCCACCACCGCCACCGCCCCAAGCAGCACAACCTCCCTCATTTCTTCTCCCAGTGGAGTACGAAGGCTTTCGCGAGCCCTTCCCTTCGCAGGTATACATAGATAGATAGGTAGTTCTTTTGTTCAATGATTGATCTCTGAGACTCCCAAAGCTGCTGTTTTGACCCTCGTCCCTTCGTTCTTGCTCCATCTCTTCATCGCTTTCCGCCTTCGCTTTGCCCTGTTCGATCATCGTGCATTGTTGTTTATGACTCGGTCGTTGATGGAGTTCGGTAAGATCTTGATCGAAAATTGGGCTGATCTTTTCTAGAAGGGCAGTGGATTCTGCCCTGGGATGCCGAGGACGATGCTTCTTGGAGCAGAGAGGAGGAAGGAGGAGAAAGGGCTCGACTTCGAGCCCTCGGATGACGACAACAGACGTAAAAATCTATCGTTGCTGTTGGGATAAAAAAGATTGGATCTTTCGTGTAAAGATTGAAGTGGAAGAACGAATTTCGCAGGTGCCGGCATGGCCGAGAGCTGCAAGAATGTCGAGAGCTCTATCTCCACGGAGGAAGAGTACGCAGTGGAGGTGCCAAAGTTTGGGGCTCAAGACAAGGATGGTTCCTGTAGGGAGAGCCTCGAGCTCCAGAAGTCGGAACGAGCGCCGCCGCAACGGCTGGCGTCGGCAATGGTGGTTCCTTTCTCGAGGCCGGCACCGTCGAAGTGGGATGATGCGCAGAAGTGGATCACAGGTCCGGCGTCGAACAGAGTCGGGAGCAAGGCTGGTGGTGGGACAATGAAGAAGAGCAGGTTGGCCGGCAACGGAGGCGGTCGTGGGACGACGGCGAAGGTTATCTTGGAAGTTGGGAGGCAAGCTAAGAAGGAAATTGGTGGAGTTAAGGGTGGGAATTGGGCGGCAGAGCTTTATGCTATGGTGGATTCAGGGATGAAACCTGCCACAACCATGGAGAATCCAGCTACTGAGATAGCTGGTAAGAAACCTCTTATGATGCTCTCTTTCTTCATTGTGTTTGATGGTAATGCTTTCTTAAATCTGCCTGCAATTTGTTCTTCTTCTCATATGAGGAGGTTGAAATCTAATGAATAGTTCAATGTTGTGTCTTATCCACAAGGCAATCAGTGACCTCCTTCAGCTGGTTTGCAAGTTGCTTTGAAATAATTCTGACGATTGCATAGATTAGTCTAATTGAAATAATTTCTTTAGGAGATGAGGATTCTCTTTCTTTGGAACAAGTGCGACAAATGTATAATTAAACCTCTATAAATTAATTTGTTTTTCTGAAAAGACTTCAGAAATTCACTATAGATGTTTCAGAACTCAAGTTGGTAAAATTATATCTACCCTTAAGTTCTTGTGATGCTTGCTATATTTAAATCATGTATGAATCCTATGAATTAGTGCCAACTATAGATGCCTCAGGAACTCAAGAACACATCACATACCTTGATAATTACTCTTGCAAGCATGTTGAAAATGAGGTAATGATCTTTCTGTCTTCAAATTAGTGAGAAACTAAAACTTCAAAGGACAGCGCATTGCTATGGATAGAGCATTACCAAGTTGATGGAAATCCTTTCATGTTACTTTATGGTACACTAGGTCCAGATGTATATTTAACTCATATGCAGTAATAATTTTGCAGTTTGCATTAATATAAATAGCTTTCATTCTCTATTTGACTTCTGAGGGATTCTTTTATAATCAACTTTCTGCAGTCAGTCTTAGTCAGCATGATCCATTGGTGTCTGTCAAGAAAGTTGCAGCATTTATCGCTCCTACATTACCAATTAGGTCTGCGTCCATGAGGGATATGGGTACAGAAATGTTTCCTATTCCAAGCCAGGAGCCATTGCAGACAGGAAGTCCTGCAAGAGAAACTTCACCCCCAACTTCTTCTCGACCATCAACTTCAGGAAAAACAGTTCCAGCATCAACTGGCCAACTCCAAACTGCACCAGCTGCTTGCCGTGATGATCTAAACAAAACACAGTCAGAAGAGGAAATATTAAAAAAAGCTTGCAGAGAAATAATGATTCTTGGCCGGCAATTGGATAATGAAAACATTGCAGCATGTGCTAGCAAAGAGGAGGAAACTGATGCATCTATTTCTCTCAAGGCTATACCACAGAATCAGTCCATGAGAAGTGTTATTGAAGCCCGTGCGGCAGCTTGGGAGGAGGCTGAACAAGCCAAGTATCTTGCTAGGTAGTTCATAGTTCAATACAAATAAAATGTCTGGTTTCTTAGAAAATCTCTTATCAAGTATGTGTTGTAGAAGTAGTTGCCTTTCATGAGGATACGGATGCTGAATGCTAATTATCTCCTCAGGTTTAAACGAGAAGAGATCAAAATCTATGCCTGGAAAAATCATCAAAAAGCAAAGATTGAGGCAGAAATGAAGAAAATTGAGGTGGATACTCAGTTTCTCCACAAGATAGGGTCCTCTATAAAAACTTAATCTTACTTGAACATTTTTCTGCCAAATTAACAAATACTATGAAAAACTGAGTGCTACTTTTTGTTCTTTGTTTTAACCTCAGGATTTCACTATATTTATGAACTTTAGAAAATTCTTGTGTCAGATGTCTATAAGATTATTATTTGACTGTTTTTTTTTTGTTTTTCAAAAGAAAAAAATTTCTTTAATTAAACATATATGGAATTTAGTTTGCCTGAGAATTTTCTGGACTGAGAATATATTCATTCAATCTGTTGTTTCTGGTGGCTGATCTTTCTGTTTAGCTCTTGAGAAATCCTTCCATGAGCATGTTGGATTGGATTCCAAAAACTTTGAAGGTTTTAGGTCCATTTAACTTCTGAACTATTAACAGATGTGGGAATTGCAATCTACCTTTTGAGGATGGTTTGCTCGATAGTAGTCTATTTTTCTATTTAGTCCCAAATCTGAAATTGAGGAGCTAATGGAGGTATGATTTGGTACACAGAACATAAATCTTCCGAACTATATTTTATTCTAGTATTACGTTCTTGTTTCACGTTCTAAAATGTATTTATAAGGAGATCTAGTTCTTGTTCAGCAGTAGATTGGCTTAGTTTAATTTACGCAAATATTTTCAGCACCAACTATGTAAAATTCTTCTTATTAAGAACTAGTTTATAAGAAACGTTTCAATGAAAATACAGAAAAAAATGTTTCAAATCATCATTGTTTGTAGAATAACAGTTAGTGTAAATATTGCTGCTGCACATCTTCACAGGTTGAGGTGGAGAGAACAAGAGCTCATGCACTTGAGAGGCTGATGAACAAAGTTGCAGCAGCAAGCCACAAAGCTGAGAAAATGCGTGCCGCAGCACAAGCCCAAAGAAATTACCAAGCTGCAACAACTGGGAAGCAAGCAGAGTACATTAGACGAACTGGTCGAATTCCCTCATTTTTCTACTGGAGTTGCTGCTTTAAGCCATCATCTTTACTGAAATATGATGTATTCTGATGTTATGTTCTACAGTAGAAGGTCGACCAAAAATTGTTCTTCGAAGTTTCTTATGCTGATCTTATCATAAACCACATGTTCTCTTATTTAGGATGAGCCTTGGATTTTGCTTTTCATTTTTTTCTTCAATGGTACTTCGATTGTATTGTTTCATGAATTAGTAGTGTATTTACCTTTTTTATTGTTCGAAAGAAAAAATAAATAATTAAAAGGCAGTAGTGTATTTACCTTTTGCAGATGTGATTATTGTATGCCACACTGATGGTTGAGGATAGCTTGATCTTATTCTTTTACTTGGTTCATTTATTCAATTGCTTGTCTGTTTACCATGGCAACTCCTTTCTGTGCAGGCTCTTTCATGCCTTCTATGTTTCTATTTTAGAAACTCAACCTTTTGTTCTTGCCTGCCAACTTTTGTTAGAAATAAAAAATTTGTCAATTGGTGTTGATAACAATGTCAAGAGAGAGAGAGAGAGAGAGAGAGAGAGAGAGAGAGCTTAACTTGATGCATTGGGTGTATGATACTAGAAAATGAATGAAAAGATATCGGATTCACACTTGTCTATGTCCTAATTGATGCAATGCAATCTACTCTATGCTACTGTATCATCACACGGAGCATGGAGAGATGGGGGAGCTCAGGGAGCGGGAGACGAAGGAGGAAGAGAATCAAAAGGAGGAGAAGATAAAGCAAAGGAAAGTTGATATGATCCATTTTTAAATAAAATTGAGCTTATGTTACTTTCAAAGGAAAAAATAGATGGAAACATCCGGTAATCGGTGTGCTTTGTGTCTCTATATATACTTAGATGAGTATATATCAATTGATTCGAGCGACTTACTAATTTAGATTGTTCATTCTTTTACAACTTGGTTAGAGCTTTGTTTCTTATTACAATGGAGTGTAACACTTTTGATCCTACAATCAAGTATAATATCATACGGTTGGTGCAATTTACCTCAATCTCTTAATAATATGGTCGATACTGTATAATAGACACCTCAAAGTCATCAGGGTGATACTTTACATCATATTATATCTTAGTCAACATATAGAGATCCTACCATGCAGGCAATCATTTAGGATATTTTTTTGATGCGCATAACAATGCAAAATGTCTATTATCTCAGTACTTTAGGGTTCCTCAAGATGATTACATGAGCCTTTGAATTAGAATTTAGGGCTAATTTTTTACCTAGTTCTAAAGGGGTATCATGTGGATGCTTACGAGGACTTTTAGTCTTAGTTTGTTTGTGACCATTCAAAGCTTATAAAGTCTATCTTTATATTTTGCATTGCCTATAAAGTATTTACTAAAATGTTTGCTTATGGGATCCCTAAGTATAATGCTTCTTCCAGCTCATCTTATCTTTGATAGTTTCTTAAGAGACCCTAAAAGGTTATAGAGAGGCTAAGCCTTAGCGGACGGATACATAAAGGTGCCACATTACTTAGATAAATCTAACAAATTTCATGATAGATAGTATCAGAGTGGGATAAGCATTATTAGAAATACTTGGTATGCAAACGTGAGGAACCTAACAATGTTGTGTTGAGGGTAGCTAGTACGTGCAATTGTTTAAGGGAAAGATATGTAGAGATACACAAAAAGAAGTTACTTAGAGGAGCGGATATTCGAGGTTGACATTAAGAGGAATGACTAACTCTTCGTATGAGAGGCACTATGAGGACAAGTGAGTTAACAAGAACATGTAACACACAAAGGTTGTGATGGTTGAATTTGAGTTATGACTTGATGTTGTTAAACAAACTTGATGGTGCTTAATGCAAGTGGAGGGGCTTGACAAAGGATAAGACTATGTAAGGAATGATGAGTTACTTGATGACCGAAATAGTCTATACAAAGCTTGCAAAGAGAATTACCGACTCAAAGTATTCGATACCCATATAATGGTTTATATGTGGACAATAGAGTTACCATAACCATCCCAAGGTGACCAAAATTCAGTATCATAGAGCATGAAAATATTCTCTTCTACATGGGATGGATGCATTTGTAAGATGCAAAATTATGTAATGACTTAAGCATGTTGCTAGACCTTGTAAAGTATAGTGGGGGTTATATTGACGAAGAGTTATAATCTAGTAAGTTTATTGATAGTGACAAAACAATACATAGTTTATTCAGCAAGGTGTAGTTCAAGGACATAATAATCTCTAAAACTTCTAAATGGAAAGACGTAAAAAGAAAAGTTATTTGAATGAGATAGATATGACTCCCGATCTTCCAAAGGGAGATTCAATGGACGCATCAAGATAGTAACTCTATAAAGCTCAATGGACTAAACAAGTGGCAAAAGTTATCTCATAATCTTGCATGAGGTAATATGCTGATGCTGCATTATGAGAGCATGTGAGGAAGCAGCCAAAGACAATACCAAATGAAGACAAACTTATCTCGATGAGGAGATCAAGCTCAACAGAGTTCTGACCCATGGTATGATGGACATAAAGACCACCATTATCTTAATGCAAATCATAGAGTGGAGCAACTTTGGTAGAACGTAGTAAAATGCCTAAGCCACATGAAAGGAGTTGATATAGAAGATAAAACATGAAGTAAAGGCACGAAGCTTTCTTTGGACAAAGGTCAATAACATAAACTCTTATAGAGATAAGAGTAAGATCATATTATCTCTTGGGTTTCTCATTTTAATAAAAAAGACTTATCTTGCAAGATATCAAACTCGAAAAGAGCTTCAAAGCACATACACCTTATCTAAGTAAGGTAATTGATAGATGAACTAAGGGGGGAAGCCAACTTAACTTGTAGAGGTAAAGTTAGAGTCAAAAAGTTTTGGCATGGGGCAAGAGAATGTAGAGGCGAGTACTCTTGAGGAATATATCACTATGCTATCATTCAAGTGATTGCAAATGAAAGCTATGTTCAGTAAGGATTGGATTGTATTAGGGTAGATGCCTAAGATCTAAACAATGGCATATCAATTTCCAGTGAAGTCGATGGACTTCGAGATCTACTAGTGACAGACTATCCTAGAGTTGTGCCTTGTCCGTAAGTGACCCAAATACGGGTGAATGAAGGTTCATTAATAAAAGAGCAAACATAAATAGAGGAGGCTGAGGCCCCGTGATGTGTTGGTAGAGGTCACACATGGAAAGATCATATTTTAAGTTCATCGTACAAAGATCAAAATACAATAAAGATATTATCAAGAGGTTATATGGTATAGTGGATCGTGGTGGAATAATTCAAGATAATCTAACACATATGAGAGAAGTCTCATAAGAGACAATAATCCAAAGGGTTGATCGAGAGTTGTTAAGAGCTCGACCTTAGTGAGAAATATAATGATAAGAAATGTTATGGATTCAAGGAGTAAATAACATGGTATTATAGGGGTGGGTCTTCCGTACGTGTATTGAATTTTGGATCAAATAGAAGCTTTAGTTATTAGCATATAGGGGCAGTATACCCTCAAGATGAATCTTCTGAGTTCAAGTATTAATGAATCTTAAGGGAGAGACTTGATCATACGAAGGTAGGTATGATTAAAACTGTTAGAGAGTATGGCTATTCTAAAGCTCGTACTTGCTTGAGGGAGTCTGACATATTAGAGGATAAGACTGAGTGAGTGAACATTAGTACCAAGGATTCAAAGGAAAATAAAATTGACACGAGCCATATAATATAATGGCTGAGGTCATGTGTAAGAGTTATAATTTATCTTTTTATCGATCAAGGTGAACTGCTTGGAAATACAAAGGTGTTGAAGTAGGGGTTCAAAAGGGGTGAGAAAATACCGATGAGTTAAAACTAGTGATATTAAAATCCAGGATTCAATAATCTCCCCCTTCTTGATGATAACTAGGCTCCTCCTATCTATATGTCATATTAAAAATATGATGAACTTAAATTCAAAGTAATGATATTTTAGTATTAGTCTTGAATTCAAGTTGAAATAATTTGATCATAAATTCTAGTATTTTTAATAGTATTCATTACAAAAATCAGATGCATAATTTTATTTAAAAAGCATCATAAGGTATCATCATAAGTTAAAAGTATCAAAACATAATTTTTTTCTGTTTAATATCAAAAGACAACAACAAGCATAGTTACTACTTCTCCCCCAGAATATATAATCTATTCGAGTGGACAATCCAAAATACCTAAATAAAATATGAAAGTGTACATAAAAAATGTCAAGATGCTGTTGGATATGTTACATCTCAGTGAAATTCTAGTTCTGATAAAGCTCAAGATAATCTAATCGAGTTGCTATAGAATAAAAAGATGAAGATAGTGTTGGATCTGCTAGAAGTCTCACCTTAAAGTGACTAGTAAGAGGAGAATGACTATCCCTATGTATAGGTGTATCTGGGACAAACTTAGGTGGAGGAGAGTTACTTCTCTTAGATAATCTAATTTATATTCTATTAATTATAGTACACATCGATCTTCTTAATAGGTTTCTATTAATAATATTAAATCTATCTAGTTTCATGAATTCTTCATATGAAAATTATGCACTGTTTTGTTATCATGAATGCACTTACTATATTACAATTCTTCATCAATATAGCTCATGCTACGTCCCTCAAGGTGTAGCAATATACTGAACCTACTACACACTTCAGCCTCCTACAGATGTATCCTTTTCATACCGAAGAAAAAGTTTCATGCTTCATGGTGTCGAGTTTCAATCGCCTTAGGATAACCCATGGATAGTCCATTATCCGCATACAAGCTCTTATATGAGTACCAAGTTCTTCGAATTAGCAATTCATCTAATTTCTATGAGTTTGCATAACACTTTTAGTCACCGAGCAACCCATCCCTTTTGCATGGTCCCATTCTTTAAACATTTATGTATCAATCTGCAAATGATCAACCTCCCTTAAACCTCTTATGGTCCCTTAAGGATCTACAAAAGAGAACATGAATTAGATGAAGTATTTAACTCATGATCCTACAAGTAGATATTTAAATAAATACTTGATAAATAATATAAATTACAAATATAGACTTTGGAAGTTTTGAATGGTAATGCAACAAATGTTCTAAAGTAGTCCGCCGTACCCAAAAGCCCCTATAAGTTTCCACATAACATTGCTACAAAACAAGGCAACAAATCAGCCCTAG